CTTTTCTCAAGGCTGAACAGACCCAGGTCACTCAGCCTCTCCTCACAGCGGAAATGCTCCAGGCCCTTTATAATCTTTGTGGCCCTCCAATGGACTCTCAACTTCACACAGTGCAGAACTGCTAGCTACATCAAACTAGCCATCAAAATAAATGACCCATGTTCAGTTTGCTCTACGCTATCCAAAAAATAGCATTATTTCTGATCTTCCAAATTCCAATGCCAAATTATGCTATGGACAGTTTTTCAGATGAGCCTTTATGAGCCTTTCAGGGAAAGCCCATGTAACTTACAGAAAAAGCATGATCTGACTTTGGGAAAAAATAAAGGTTACTTTTCCACATCTTAGTAACCACATGACACAAAAAACAGACAACTGGCATTACAGATCCTGTATGCCATATAACTTTTTTTTTTTCATATTCATGCATTTTCTAGATTGAGTATTCAAACATACATTAGATGCATCAGTGTGAGTTTTACTATCTATCTGGGGGATTCTAGAGCAGATGTTTATATAGTCATGTATATCTGTTCTTAGAAATATATTTATGCCTAGAATCTCATCCAAAGGTCACTGCTTTGTCCAATACAGCCAGTTACATGATTCACACGGGCTGACACTTACTTACCTTCTCCCTTCTACATATATTTGCAAGTTACTATCACCAAACAATAAACAATTAGAGCTGGGCTGCAACCTGCCTTCTGGTGATGTACAAATAAGGGGAAGAATTCAGGACAAATACAAAAGCATTAGAATTGAAAAAAATGAAGACAGAAGGAATGGGAAAGGTCATGAGACACACAAAAAACATGCTATTTATTGGGCTGAGAGAACAACAGGGAGAATCCTGATATAATGCCTGTTACTCAAGAAGTTACATGAATTGGTCACAAGGAGCACCTGAAAAAAAGTGACAGCACAGAATTACAGGCCAGGAAGCAAACACTCATTTAGATGATCTTTCATTAACTTGGACCATCTCTGACATTTCTCAGTTAGATCCTTCCACGTGGGTTACAGTTACAGCATACTTGAATTCAAGCAGAGTTCGACAGGCTTTCAAAGGACACCTTTCTGGTTCAGAACTTATCATGTCGTTCAAAAATCAGTATATTTTTTCTCCCCTTGCAATTCCTCAGTCATGACCCTCCAGCTCTGTGATCATATTAAACAGAGCTGACATTCAGTCCCTCCTTCACAGGCCTCAGGTAAGAAGTTTCTGCGACTATAACTGCATACACCAATTTTTCTTTAATACTTTGATTTTTAATCCAACACCTTTCCTCAACTGTAACACTGCTGAGTGGTCCATACAGATTTCACATGATGCTCCCCCTCCTCTGTTCTGGCAGATACAACTATTGTAAGAGTTCTGCACATGGCAGAGTAACTAATGAAAGACACTACCCCTTAAGTGGCTAAAAAGCCACATGGTTCAAGCAATTTCCTAATATCTATCACTGCCCCAAATTTACACTGCATACATGAGACACTTAATCTATGAGTGGAACCTACACAACACCTGTTGCAGATCTGCCATCATTTTAGATGAAAGTTCCTCTTATCATTGCTCTCACCTAGAACTCATCCCCACTGTGGCAGCACCTTGCCCCAGGACACACTACTCGCATACAGAACAAGGAGTTCAAAAGCCCCTTGGTACACCTAATTGACTGTAAGGTCAGAGATCACCTTCCTCAAGGGGAACAGAACAAAACATGAAAATATTTGTTGTGCACAACAGAAAGTAGTTTTCTGTGTGTTTTTTTTTTTTTTTTTTTAATAAATAATTTTAGAACAGGAAGCTAAAAAAAAAAAAACACCACCAAAACTATTCCTGAGAGATCCGTACTATGTTTCTGCCTATTCTGAAATGCTCTAAATCACATATGTGAGGACTCACGACAAGCCCTAACCACTTTAGATAACAGGAAAAATCTCATTCTAGAGAACAAACATGTTATTATGTACGTATGATCTGGAGCAAGAGTGAGAAATTCAAGGCATTATGATCATTCACATAAAACTCAGATGAAATGCAGCAGCTATTTGTTTAGAAGGCTTTTTAGATATGTGAAACATTAACCCACTGAGTTAGGTGAAGGCAGAGGCTCTTAGAAGCTGCTTTTGTCTCCTGATTATGCAATACAAAATCGTCACACAATTTGCATGACAATTTCAAAATGTCACCTTTCCTCTTGCTAGTTGTGCTGCCAAGATATTTATTTCTTCCCTGTGAAAACTGACAGCCAGAAAAATCTCACAGATTTTTCTACTCAGGTAAAATAAGTAATGCCAAATTACACAGACTTGCTGAAACATTCCCTCAGGCAAGCAGTGATTAAAGCAACAGTTATCTGCTATTTAGGAACTTTTGCCACTAAAATGCTGAAAATAAGACAACTGCGTTTACAGAATTACTTCCTTAAAGTCAATGAACTTACAGAACAAAGCACGATGCTCAACTCATTTCATTTCCTCACATTTGAAAATAAGCTGATTAAATGTACTCACAACAGATGATGCCAAATTTGTCAGAAGCTTAGTTTCCTAGCAACTGGTATAGTACGGTATTAGTAATAGATTAATGACATGTGCTAATAGATTAATGGCTTGAAGCTACGCACTATCTTAAAATCTTTATTTTAAATAACACATCAACTGTACATGCAGAACTACAGAGGCTTCACAGTTAGGAAATTAAATGTTCTTTCCATATGCTCTTAGTTCAAAAGCAACAAAAAGTTTGAAGCAAGAAAGAGCACTGAGGCCTTCAAGCACCCATACCCTTCCTCATCTCTGACCTGCTTAACATACAGACACGTAACACAAGAAAATGCCCAGTACATTACTGCAGCGATCACACACATGGATCTAAATGGTGTAAGGCCAAGACCACAAAAAAAGTCAAATTGTAACACATATAATGAACTGAAGTTGTGCAGTAAACTTCCGTAAGTGCTAAAAAAGACTGCATCTTTGTATTTAAATGGTTTGTGTCTGCACACAATAGTATTTACTTTTCACCAAACTTGGTCTTTAGCATATTGTTTTTTACCAGCAGTGAGTGAAAAGTTAATTCAAATCCTTCTTTTGTTTCATAACAATTTCCTCTTTCCCATCAAGCACAACAATTAATTTCTAATCCAGCCGGAAGAGACCAAACTACAAAACAGAATATTGATCTGAATTTGTGTTCGTTTTACTTTAGAGCTGCACAGCACAATGCACATGTTCAAGCACGAGACTGTGAAGACTGTGAAACAACTATAAATACTATGCCCTTTTGTAAGACCGTATTCTTGTCATGGTGAGGTATTTCACAATTCTTATGTGAATAAATACCTTTGACAATAGTAAATCACATAGGTTACAGAGCTGGTTTTTTCTGACTTGGGGTCTAAGCACTGCTACAGAAGCATCAAGTAGTTCTGTGAACAAAAGAAACCCCATGGGTATCTGTCAAGTCTGGAAAACATCAGCAAAACTAGTTCCCTTAACACAAATACTAGCGCAAGACACGAGCACCCAGGGGAGAAGAAATAAACAAATAAATAGCTTCCAAACGCTCAGCAGAGACTTATTTTGTCAGTTGCAATTTCCCAAGATTCTGTTCTTACTAACGATGTATTGAACTCCAGTGCCAGCTACCTTGGTATGTGAAAGTTGTGTCTCCTTATCTTCCACTGACTAAAACAACACAATGCTCCACAAGAAGAAATGTCCCTGGTTAACCACTTTCAGATTCCAGCCTAGCTCAGGCATCCTCTCTTTTCTCTAGCACACAAAATAGACATCCCTGCTGAGCACCTGATTGTTGTCTCTACTGTGCTACGAAATCAAGCATGTCTGCCAACAGGAGGTTTGAGCTGTTTAGGTGATGGTATCATCACTAGGAGGAAAACACTGAGGAACTCCACAGGGAAAACGAAAGCTGGTTGAAAAGCTCACAATAAGAATGGAAATGAAGGAATGGCAGAAGATAAGAGTGATGAAAGACACTACAGGAAGAAAAGATGCGAAGACAGGATCCAGTCTTTTTTTGTAGAAGGAGCAAGGAAAGGTACAGATGAAAAAGTCTATAGGAAGATGAAGAAGAAAAGAGGAAAAATTAAAAAAAATAATAATAATAATCACGGTAAGGCTATCAGAAGAAACAAAGTTGGATATGTAGCCCAAAGAACATGACTAAGTGTCAGTCTTCAAGAACTGTATTAGACAAAGAGGTTGGAGACTGCAAGGAAACAGTCAGTCCAACAGATTTAATTTCTGCTGGTACATCTTTGTTTATATAGCATAGCTTCAGAGCTCAAGAAAACCTAAAGTCTGCTCAGCACTAAGACATGCACACACCTCACCTCACAGGGAGACTTCTCAGCTTGCGTACCGTACCTGCTTATAGTCACAACATCAAACACCCTGCATCTTGCCCTTCAAAGATTATTGTGGCAGAACTTTCATATGAAACCCAAGCTAAATTTATCAGGACCTTATATCTAACTGATCTCAGCAACAATTCGTTGGTGTTTGCAAAGCATACAAATACTATGCTTCAGATGTCTTTAGCATTTAGAATATTTACAGTAAGGAAGAAGCCAGTCAAAACAGCTGTTAATGGCCAGTATTAAGTATCAAAACAGGTAGTGCATCACCACCCTCTCAATCAGAGAACTGCTGCCTGCATTGCTGTATTTACATGAGTTTCACTACTGAAAAAAACAAACTGTTCTAAGAGACAATAAAGCTTGCTCGATTCAGTTAAGACAGTGGAAACAATGACAAAACAGAAGGTCGGGGAGGAGGGGAACAAGTCTTAATGTTACAGATAAACAATCCAAATCTAAGCTAACTCTTATATTACACAGGTTACATCTAAAGGAGAATCTTACCCAGGAAGGAATACAAGCTTCACAGAAGGCAACAATCCACAGCATCATAAATGCCAGTAACTGTATTTAATAGAAAAAAGTTATCAAAAAAGCCAGACATCCTACCTTCACTACAGGGTGTCCTCCAGTAGATGCTTTTACAGCTCCTCTGCTTCCTTCTGTTTCATAGTGAGCTCTGTGATGAGTTTTAGGCTGAACCTCTATTTTCAGTTCACACTGCCCATAATGACTTGGTAAAGGCCAGTCAAGAGGTGGCAATGAAGATGTGCTGCAATCAAGACATGAACACTACGTTTACATGAAGTATGTCATATGGCCAGCGTGGTATCAAAACAATTTGTCTATAAACTACGATTGACTTTCCTAACAAATGATTACCAAACAAGAACAGCTATTAGCCTAACGCTGTTACTTGAAAATTCCCCAAATTTACTGATGCATTAAAATCTTCAGTTAAACATTCTGGGGTTGTTAGTGCTGTATTTCTTTCTTCCAACACCTGATTAGAAGAAATACCTGCCTCACATTACCAGTGCTGTTCCTTAATGCTATTAATTTTTTGACCTCAAGCGTACCAACACGCAAGTTCAAGTGGTGTGAGAGGAAACAACCTAAGCTCAATCTGTAAGTCATTTTCAACCATCTTCATTATTATCTTGAAATATTTTTTGTTTTGCTAAGATTGGTAAGCACTGCATCTTGCTAACTAACATGAAAATAAACACTATATGATGGTTCGATATCTTAAGACCAGTAGTCCTATCTAAGCATAAAGACTTACTGCAACAGCCACCTCTGAAGTGCATGTTTTATTTATCCACAGATTGTACCCTTACATCCAGTAGCAACGTTGCTCCAGGGAAGGAGAAAAAATAAAATTTAAAAAAATGCAGCAAAGTAATATGGAAGAACCTCAAAGGAAAACAAGCAATGTAACACCATCAGTTTTCTTATGCCTATCATTTACTTTTATGAATTCACTTATTCTGATAAGAACAGTCAGATTCAGCAATTACCTGGGAGAGCAAATTAATTTATAAACATTTACAAGTGAACATTTATTGCGCTGTATATCACATAACAACATACACAAGAAAAATAAAATAGTTCTTACTACCATGCTTTGACCAACAGGGAAAGCAAAGTAGGTTCTAAAGAGACGGACAGATACTGCTTTGCATCACTGCCTGAGAAAGCTCATTTCCATTTCTCCTTCACAGCAAGACAGGAAAAGCCTCCCCACCAATCCAAAACCATGCACATTTTCACAAACACAAATAGCTGCAGATGCATAAGAGACAAATGTTACCTTCTACAGAATTCAGCTACAACTCATAAACATATCCACAGGTGGAAAAGGAGATAACATTTAGATTGAAGGGGAGGAAAAAAATTCAGTCTAGTAAGTATCTGGATGGACTTGGGCTCAGTCTGCAGCAGCATACATCCACCTTTTACTGCAAACATCACTGTCACTAGGCATGAAAAAGGGGGAGAAGAAAAGGCACCACTTGCTGGCATTCTCCCATGGAAGGACAATCTGTTGACCTGCTGCTTCATGCAGTACTTCTAATCTGCACTTCAGGAGAGAGCTCACCTGGTAAATTAAACCTCATCTCCTGAAGTCCCATTCTGGGAGTCAAAGGGAGCAGGAGTACTTCCCTTTCTTCTTACTGAAAGGAAGAAACGTGAGCAGTAAATCACGTCCATGAGCGTTCAGTGTATAGCAAAGACTCTTCTTCTCCCAGCATGCAGCTCTGAGGACTGGTCCTTCCACAGCAGTAGTATTTACTGGGTAGGGAGCAGACCGGTGATGTCAGCAATAAAAGAGGAAACAGAGGAATGCAGCATAAGCCCAGTCCTTCCAGTTACTTACCATAGGCCAAGGTGTACTGCCTGAATGCTATTACTGGCTATCAACTAGACCTTGCCATTCACTTTTATAGCTACTGAGGGAGAACTGGACTCAAGTCTTCAGTCTGAAAAAGGAAAGAAAACGTCAAGATTAGAAAATACTAAACTTCTTTAAAAACTCTTTTTAGCAGGCAAGAATATTTTCGAAGCTATTTTCCTCTCCTATAAACAAATATACTATGCCAAAATAGTTGGTATGCATAGTGAGCAGATATGGTCCCTAGGAGAGCTCGGTATAATATGCACACCACAGGCAATATACCAATTACTGAGAGACATTATACTGACAATTCTATGTTAAGAATAGAATTTCTCTCTCAAGAATTTCTCTCTCAAGAAAATGTATTCATTGCTATTGACAGTTCCACACCTCTCAGAGAAGTTAATTCTGCAATTAACTAGTAAAAATATAGTGCAAGCTGCCTCAGAGTCCCATTATCTCCTGAAAAAAATATCTGGAATACTAGAACAAACACGGACACAGGAAAATAACCAAGTGTCTACATTTTGTCATTCTTTGAAAGCAGACAAAATATCAAAGTGAGGAAGAGAGCAAGCACACATGCATATGCAAATCCCAAAAATATAAATCAAACAAGCAAACAACAAAGACTGGAAACACTCAAAAAGTTTCCTAATTAAATGACACAGCATTAAGACTTAGAGGCTGTGCTGCATCAATCTTCTACATGCAGCAGAATACAGAATTTGCTTCAAACAAAATCTCAGCATGTTGTTGAGAGAGCACCATTCTGTAAACCTGCACACGTTCTACCAGTAATACCAAGAGAATTTCATAATCTGATTAATGCTAGTCTCCAAAAGCTCATACTCCTATCACATCAAGATTAAAGGCTTTAGGGAACAGCTGCTATTAAAGGAAACTCAGAAGAAGGAATCCTTCAGTAGCATCATCAGCAGAAGCCACTGCATTTAAAATGATCACTTCAGTGTTCAAATACTAATTCAGTCAACACCTTCTTCACCTGCAGTCACAATTTCTAAAGCAGAACTGCTTCTGGCTGCACACATTGAACGAACACCTCTTGTTCATCATAAGAACAACCACACGAGTTCCACATTTCATGTCCCAAACCCACAGAAGTCAAGGCTCAGCATGGGCTGGGCCTCTCTTGCACAGGAAGAAACACTCTAGGAACAAGACTGCTTGCACTTGACTTACCCTTTATTTTTCCTTCTATCCTACAAGCAGTGTTCTGGAGCCAGTGACAGCCATAGAAAATAATTCTGTTCAAAGCTTAAAATGTTTATCTTCCATTTGGAGCAGTCTTCCTGGGAAATTCATTGGACAGACAGCTGGGGCTCTGTGCAGACAGCAACTGCTAACCTTGTTCCCTAAGCTGAAACACGTGTGACTAGTTCAGTTTTAGCCTGATGCTCTGTTGGCATCCATGCCTAGAAAGTTGCTGAATACAGGTGGAATGAAAGCTCATTTTCGCAACTCAGTATGAATATATTCCTGCTTCTCAGTAATCACAAATTCTAGTAATAAATTTTTAAAGACACATTGGGATCTCAACTGTTCTACTACTAGCAAACCAAGAGTTAAATATGCTTTAGAGTATTGATACAGCATACCATCAAGTAAAATCTATACTCAGCCACATCAGAACAAAGTAGAGAACTGAAGCATCTATTGCACAGAGGTCATATATTAAACTCTATGTGAATTTCTTTGGATTCATTAATGGTTTGTAAACACTAAAGCAACAGCCTCCCTTATTACAAATCCAAGAGGTTCAAAGTCTTCTTGCTCGTCTCACTTAAATGAGCATCTATCCTGAAAGTCTGCGATTTGCGAACACTTTCACTTTAAAGCTTTGTTATCACAGCACAACTGGTGTTATCTCGATGTAACAACAAACAGATGGATAACTACATACAGACTAAGTTTGCCTACAGTCTGCTCACATTGAAAGATTTATTCTTCTAAAAAATTAAAGATGGAGATCCCAATAGTTATGCTAAAAATACAACATAAATCGATTCTTCTCTATTTTTCTCTCTTCTCCAGACTAACAACAGAAATATTTAGACAACAGAACTGACTATTGCAAGTATTTTACCATCTGCCACTACAGTTATAGATTCTTTTCCTGAAAAAGTAGGTAACACTGTCAGCAATCCTAGTTTTCAGCTGTAACTGCTAGATAATTGCGGGTAAAATACTCTCAAGTTGCTGTTAAGTATCTACCACCAAAGAGAACTGTCCTGAACTGCCAATAGATGCATCAAAGCCCTTCTGTTCATTGCCACTGGGACAAAGAAGCTGTGTAGCAGCCCTTCAATTCGCAGCACTTCTGATTAAATATTGATAAGTATTCTGAAGACAACTGTCAGTTTATGAAGTTTTTCTTAATCAATTTACAAATCTAACAATTCCACAAGGAGAGGCACAACAGAATAAACTAACATTGTATTTCAAAGATTTTGCTTGTTAATACCTACTTCCAGGACACAAAAGCACAATTTGTTTCTCTGAAATACTTGTTCCAGGGGTTAAATTAAAAAAATGCATGACTCATTAATATCCTACAAACTGTCTATTTGCAATTTTTCAATTTATCATTAAGTATTTTACAAGCTATATTACAATTAATACCATGCAACACATAGTGCATATAAGGACTGCTCTGAAAGTAATGCCCCCTATTTTATATGTTGGCCCACAACATGTGGTTGGTGATATGGCAATAGAACCTTCCCACCAACATTCCATTCTGTGCATTTTTATGAGTGCAACATACAGGCTCTTGTTCATCACTGGTGACAACGCACAACTGATGGTGGTGACTATGCTGAAAAATAATGTTTTGTAGCTGAGAATCTGCTCTATCCAATAGTATTATTGTGCTCTTTCTATCTGATGCAGCTTACATGGAAATAAATAGGAAGCATAACTTTCAGAGCTACCTACGTGTAATATATAATAAATACATGAATTGCAATTACTATCTAACTTATGACTACTGAGGTGTCTGCTTTTGTTTGCTGTCACGGACTACTTCAATTTCCCTCCATTTTTATTCCTAAAACAGAAGTGAAACAAACTTCCCTACTTCATGAGCATCAAAATCAAAACAGTTTACAACAAAACACCTGAATATCCTGAAGTCGTGCAGTCTCACTGCACCAGTGGAACAGGCTACAAATGCTAAGTAGTTCAACATTTCACTGAGGATACAGCTGCTAACGTAACCATTTCCACAAATTCAATACTCAGGGTACATTTTGGGCAGCAAAGGTACACAGCTTGCTTTGTTCAGTTTACTTGTCAATAGATTTGGCCTTTACCTTCTTCTGCACGTGTGCCAATTTCATATTTTTGAAAAGTACCAGCTTTTAAATAAATTCTGACATTCTGGGTTAAGTCAATCATTAGCTCTTGCTTTTGCTTTCCCCCTGCCCCCTGCTAAAAAATTGTTTTATTCACTACATTGATCTCTCCATCTACTACATCCCTGAAGAACCAATCTCAAGCACTGCCTCTACAGAATGACATTATTTCAGTCCCTTATTTTCAAATGAGTACACAGTAGTATGGGAACACCAACATTTAAGCCTACAGCATGTTTTTATATGGATAACTGTTTTACATGCACTAACCTAACACTATTAGAAAACATCTACACAAAACCAGAAGGATAGCTTCACCTTCCAGCACTCCTCTTCCCCTTGCTTTTCAAAGCTAGCAGAGCAACAAAAAGGTTCAGGAAGAAAGCAGATAATTTTTAGCTGAGTAATTGTAACAGCTACCCAGTCAGCAGCAATGCAACTTCAGTTCTCGTTTCTACTCTACCTACTGCACTGTGGCCTAGTGGTCCTAGAAGCTCTGTGGTCCCATAGATCACAGACCAGCTCCACCTAAAAAAATAACAGAATGGGGAGGAGGGAGAGTGAATTCTTCCTCCAGCTGAACTAGTTCCTTCTACTGAGTCTCCACAAATTATCCTGCAAGCACACAACAACTACAGAAGGACAAAACCCAATTAACTCAGCACCACGTAATTAGAAAATACCCTTGGAGCCAAAGCTCAAAAAGGAATTCCTTCTATTGAAAGAATTCTAGATGGCTGTCAGCATGACATGCAAATCTATTTTCTCTATCCCAATTTGTAGAATTCTATCAACCCAAAAGAAGCAAGTGAAGATATAAGGAAATGAAACCTCTACCTCTTTTGTGTTGTCACAGTTTTATAAAATGAGCATTCAGGTTTCTTTTCAGAATCACAGAATAGTAGGGGCTGGAAGGGACCTCTGGAGATCTTCTAGTCCAATCCTGCTGCTAAAGCAGGTTTCCTACAGTAGGTTACACAGGAAAGTGTCCAGGCAGGTTTGAATATCTCCAGAGAAGGAGACTCCATCGCCTCTCCAGGCAGCCTGTGCCAGCACTCTGTCACCCTCACAGTAAAGGAATTTTTTCCCATGCTTGTATGGAATTTCCTATGTTCCAGTTTGTGTCCACTGCCTCTTGTTCTGTCACAGAGCACCACCAAAAAGAGCCTACTCACATACATTTGACTACCACCCTTTAGCTATTTATTAGCATTAATAAGACCTCCTCTCAGACTTCTCTTCTGTAGGATGAACAGTCACAGGGAAAATGAAACAGAGAAAATCTCCTTATGAGGGAGATGCTCCAGACCCCTATCACCTTTGTGGCCCTCAGCTGGACCCTCACCAGCACTTCTCTGTCTTTCTTGAAATGGGGAGACCACGACTGGACCCAGTGCTCCAGATGTGGTCCCACCAGGGCACAGTAGAGGGGGAGGATAACATCCCTCAACCTGCTGGCCATGCTCTTTCTTCATGCACCTCATGTATTAAAACGCTAACTGTTCAGAATAGATGCAACTGCTTAAAATCTAAGCACGCACAAAAGCTGCAGACATTTCATTTAAAATAGAAGTTTCCTTTTAGAGGTCTCAGTATAGCATAGAAATATAAGCACATTAGCGTGCCTACACAGGATGCATTGGAAGGAAACCTTCTGAAGGACTTGCATATTTTCTTACAACTTACCGAAATATAGGAGTATGACCAGGCTTTGGTTTGTTCCAAGTAAAGTGCGAAGGAACAGACAGAAATTGGTCTCCGGGCAAATCTTTTTTCAAGGTGTGTTGAGAACCAGAGCAGTCATCTACTGCATTTTCAAGGGAAGATGATAGGTTACCCTGTTCTTCAGGGCAGATATCTATTTTTCCAGACAAAGTAGCAGTCTGATCCTCTGAGGTCTTTCTTGTTTTAAGAGGAATATCAGTCTCTGTACAACACTGAAATGGTGAGAGGCCGGAATTAAGACCTTGCACGTTATGGATGGAAGTGTTTAGCCATGTGTCTTCTGTTATGCTTCCTCTGGGAGAATGACCAGGTGATGGAGTAGGAGAATGGTGAGGAGACAGAGAACCAGCATAGCAAATCTCAGCACTGGAGTGTCGCCGTTTCCCACAGGGGGATGTAGGTCTTGAGGAGGGCCTTGATGTTGGTCTAGGGCTTAGCCAATTTTCATCTGTAATGCTAGTTCTAGGAGAATGACAGGGAGACTGTCTAGGTGACAAGGCATGCCCAAATCCATAAGGCTGTTGCCAAGATTCATCGTTAGGACCTCTTGGAGAACCACCGGGAGAGGCCAGAGGAGAGCCAAGGGTAAATCGAGCAGCTGCTTCATTTAGCTCCGAGTCTACATCATCATAAACATGGGAAATGGACTCACAAGAGGAAGCATCTGAAAACCAACTTCTGGAGGAAATGCTGCTGGCAGGGCTTGGACTAAGGGATGATTCCCTATACGATGGCTCAAGAGGAAGATAGAGATGGTCCCGTGAAGGCCTTTCCATATACTCATTTTCTGTGCCATTTGTGTGCAATTCATCTTCATTGGCTTCAATCCCTTGATGACAGTTAGGCGAAATAGAAGTAATCTGAATACTGGGGCACTCAAAGGGTTTGGGTCCACCTAGTGGACTGTATTTGGATTCTGGTACCTCACCAGTTCCTTCATAGTTCTTATGACTCTGAAGCCTTGTAGGTGGTGACAGAGGAGAGGAGTGAGACTGCAGTCCATGGCGAGGAATACAAATTGGCTGATTTACAGAAGATGATGGCTGGTCTACATTGAAGATGTATATGGATGCACAGTCATCAGACTCAAGATCTGAAAAAAAAACAAAAGAAGAGGAACTGAATCAGAGTAAATTACTTGAAAAATGTCACAAAACTCTTGTTTCCCAGGCACGTCTTGTTTTCAACACCTCAGACACATCTCATTACTCTAGGCACAAAAAGTAAACCTAATTATTTTAGATCCCTCCCATTTACATATTTATGCATGACAACAGCTTAAGTTTTCTTTTGTAAATCTTGCTTTCAATCAGATTCTGCAGTTTATCCACATCTTCAGTAGGTGAATATGTAATATACACAGAACATGGGTTTAAAATCTTGAAAGGGTCTAACATGGAATGCTCAATTCAATCATCATCTTTCATAACTATTTTCAATTTATTCACTTCTTAATTGTTTTATCATAATCAGATGCTTGATCATCTTAACATGAATATGAACAAATATGACACTTTCTGCAATCAAACTAGTCAATAATTATAAGCACTAGAATAGGACATGAGTAATATTTATCTCCTTTAACATCAGAAAGTATCTTCCAGTGACTCAAACTTCAATGAAGATGACAGATAACTGCAAATATTTAACCAAAAGAGGCCTAGCAAGAAATATTATTAAATATAGAACAAAGAATCTCATTCCAAAGATCTTTTTGGTTGCCTAGAAAACTGTCAAGCACCCATCTCACAGAACAGCATGTTTTCAAGTCTCATGAAGTTTGAGCGAAAGCTATCCAGCATAAAAAAGGCAATACAGAACAGTCTCAGATCTCACAAACTTAACCGAAACATAGGATATATTCCAAAGAAGAGCATGCAATCGTGATGGATTCAGCAGCCTTGTCTCATAGAACCAAAGCAGGAACTCTTGCCCTGATTCAGTATTAAGGGCCAATATGAGACACTTGTCTTTGAAATGACTTATTTACTTATTTCGTGATCACTCCTGTTTGTTTCTTTTCCCTTGTGAAAGGGATCCTAAGTAGGATATTAACACTTTCTCAATCTTTTCGGATTTCAAGATCCATTAGAAGTTATCATCAAGCAAAAGATTGCTCTAGCCAACTCTGTTCACACAGCACAGAAGTATCTGCTCATTTAAAAAGATACACATTTACCCTAACCAATGTTTTAACATTGTCCTCAGTTTGCTGCCTTGCTACTTGAAATGAAAATGGTTTTAAATAAATCTACTCTCACAATCAAATAAAGTACCAAGATAGGAAGGTACCAAGATAGGAAGCCATGCATTTTAGCCTTCTCCATGATGAAAAAAAAATGCAGGATGTTAATCAAGTCATTCTATTCTAAGTTTCATTTAGAGCAATCAGCATAAAATTAACTAAAAGACATTATTCAGGAACAAAACAAGAGACAAGAAGAAAGCATTTTCAAGTGGAGACAGAGCACAGTGCTACCAAAAAACAGACTGTAACTCTGTATACTGAAAGAGGCACAAAAACGCATTTAAGAGTAATATCCAGTACCGTGTGATTTTATATGCAATATTACATGGTCACACACAACACTTTTTATATAACTATGCCATTACTATCATTACATGTTTTAAGAGCACAAAAAACTATTATATGCTGCTCTATAAATAAGCATTTGCTAACAGCATCACAACACTACTAAGGGACTATCTTGCCTGTCACACACACACAATTAGCGAACGGTCACTACCCTGAACGCTGTCAGAACTACATTTCTCTATCTTTTCTCCAATGAAGATTTTTTAAAAATTTTGGGGGAGAAAAAATTCTTGTGCTGTTTCCTATCACAAAACACAAAATGCAAACAGTAATTAGTTACAGATTTTCCACATTTACTGGTTTATTCATATGCAGGGTCACAGATGTCTTTGTTCCCTTATTTAGTATTAGGACAATTGGTCAAGAAAGAAAAAAGGCAATCCTGACAAAAGGATGACTTAAATTATTAAGCATTTATCCAGCTACTTGAAAGTTAGAAATGAAACATACAGTTAAAGAAATTTTGAAGTAATGTTAAAAATGTTATAGGAAATCAACAGTCCTGTGTGCAACCATTTACTGTCATGAGCAGATTTAGGAACAGCAGCAGTGCATTGCTGGGTTAAAACTGTCAGCAATGCAAAGAGCCTTATTTATTTCTCTTGCAGCAATAATCAAGAAATCTTACTATATTTAAGACAGCTTCTCTTTCAATGCCACTGGGTTTACAAAACACACATTCAGAATTCACATTTCACAGAGCTGGGGTGGAAGAACTGAAGGAGTACAGGAGCATCAGTGCAGGCTGGGAAGGCCTGCAGGAGGAAGGCAGACGCGTCCCTGAGCCCGGCTTTGCAGCTCCTGCTCTGTGACAAACTGCCTCTAATGAGCCTGGCACAGCTGCTGCCATTATCCCATGTGCACACTACAAAAACAGGAAGCCAGAAACCAGGAGTAAGGCCTATGAATCCAGCAAACACTCCCCCAGCAGCATGCTTATGACAGTGCAAACAACATATTTTGAAGTCTACAGTCACCAACAGCTCTCGAACAACATCAGTGAACACACAGCTTCATCTCAGTTTGGGACCATCCTCTAACTCTCCCCTTATAGCCATGTGTGAAAATAATCTGTTAGCTGCTTATACAAACAACAACACTGGGACTTTTACAATGTGTCTCACCAATTCCACTGAATGAGTTACCAGTAATTTTCTTGTCATATTAACTGTAGGGAGAATTTGATCTGGATGAGCCCCTGAACAAAATGGAAGAAACGAGTCAGCCTACGAAGACAAATAATACTTGGGCAAAAGAAACCAGTG